AAAAGTAAAGAACTTGCCCCTTTATTAGAACTAGTAAAAAGCGGAAGTAAAAACAAGTTATGGGATTAAAAATGGGGTTTTAGTAAAAAAGAAGGTAAATAAGTTAGGAGGAGAAGAACATTTAATTGTTGTTCCAGAAAACCTCAGAGAGCAAATTAAAGCAATTTGTCATGAAGGAACTTCAGGTCACTTAGGAGTTCTGAAAACAAAAGACCGGTTACTAAGACATTTTTTCTGGCCAAATTGTTATAAAGACATTGAGGAATTCGTTAAAACATGCGACTCCTGTCAACGTGTAGGAAAAGCAAGTGACAAAAAGAAAGCACCGTTGGTAATAGTACCTGTGATATCGGAAGTCTTTAGTAAGGTTAATGTAGATGCTTGCGGGCCTATGCCTACATCTACTGAAGGTAATAAATATAAATATGGTGAAATATCTTATTACAGTTATGTGCTTAGCATCTAAATATTCCTGACGCCGTCCCGGTACCGGATATAACGTCGAAATCTGTTGTAAGTGCACTCTTGCAGGTATTTAGTCGGATGGGTTTTCCAAGGGAGGTTCAAACTGATCAAGGAAAATCTTTCATGAGTCGCTTAACCGTTGAATTTTGAAGAGGTTTGTTATAAAAATTTCCAGAAGTTCGGTTTATCACCCCCAGAGCAATCCTGTAGAACGGTTCCATAGGTCAATAAAAAGGGTCTTAAAGGTATTATGTATTGAAGCTGTCCCAAATTGGGAAGTACAATTACCTGCCGCTCTCTTTGCCCTGCGAACAGTAACGCATGATAGTACAGGATTTAGTCCAGCTGAATTAGTGTACGGGACCAACCTCAGAACACCTGTCGCATTATTGTATGAGAAATGGTTAGATCCTCAGGAAAAAGAAGATACCGTAATAGAATATGTTTTCGAATTAATCAATAGGTTAAAGAAAAGTAGAGAATTAGCTACAGAGAAAATGGAAGAGGTGAGAGACAAAAGGAAGAAATGGTATGACAAAAATGCCGTGAAAAGGGAATTCCAGCAAGGAGATTCTGTATTAGTATTAGCAGTGAACCAACCCCATAAACTCGCTCCTCAATGGAAAGGGCCGGGGAAAAAATAGAGAAAAGATTATCAGAAACAAACTATGTGGTTAGTTTTGAAGGGAAAATCAGGAAGGGAATAAAGTGTGTATCACATCAATATGTTAAAAACCTTATCATAAGAGACCTGAACTTTTTGAATATGGTGCTCCTTGACAAATAGTTGACGAGGAGATAGTTGAACCCTCGGAATTAGAGGAGGATTTTCCTTATATGTTAACCGACCCCAATGTGTTTGATTTTAATGAAAATAATAGCAAAAGATAATCTTAAAGAAAGACTTAGTGATGAACAAATCCTGCAGTTGGGAAAGTTGTTGGTAAAGTTTTCTGCTATATTTTCGAATATTCCAGGGAAAACAAATTTAGTCGAACATGATATCGAACTAATCAGTGACAAACGCGTACAGCATAAGCCTTATAGAATGACAAATCGACAGAACGAAATTCTTAAAGTCGAGATTGAAAAAAATGTTAAAATACAAGATTATTGAACCAGGACCCTCTGAGTATTACTTCACCCATGATCCTTGTTGAAGCACCAGGTAGGGATCCTAGGCCGTGTATTGATTACAGAAAGTTAAACGAAATAACGCGTACTGAGTTCTATCCGATCCCCAATATAGAGCAACGTGTTGAAACTGTTGCAGTAGCCAAATTTATCACCTTGGTAGACTTAACTAAAGGTTATTGGCAAATTCCGCTGACCCCTAGAGCGCAGAAAATTGCTGCATTTGCTACAAATTTTGGTGTATATAGGCCTTTGCGCATGCCATTTGGGCTTAAAAATGCTCCTTATTATTTTAGTAAAATGATGAGCGAAATATTGTGCGGATGTGAGAAATATGCGACCCCTTATTTAGATGATATTGCTATTTTTTCTGAAACGTGGGAGGAACATTTACAACATTTACATGAAATTTTAGAAAGAATAAGAAAAGCCAATTTAACTATTAAACCCTCTAAGTGCAAGTTTGCACAAGAAGAAGTGCTTTTAAATTTCATTTCTTTTAAATTGTCTTGTTATTTGATTATGTATATTGTATTTTTTTTTTAAATTCATACTATATAGTAAATTGTTAGCTTTATTCTTACAGAGAAAACTTTTTGTTTTGGTTTTTCATATATTGTACGTGTATTTTTTAAATGTGGTTTTTTTTTATGATGGCCTGGTTATGAGAGTGGAGAACCTTTGTAACAGTGTGGTTTAAAATTAACTGGTAAAATGTTGAACAATCTGTATTGAAACCATAAACTGTGAAGGTTTACTTCTCCTGTGTCCGGAGAAACAAAAACTGGAGGCGGAAGGTGTTTGTTAGTAGTGAACGCCTGCCTGAACTTGTATTTTATCCCGTAGGAACTTAAAAAAAAGTTTTGTTTCCTCTGTGTCCGAGGAAAACAAAATCTGGAGGCGGAAGGAGTTAGTCTGTAAAGAACGCTCCTGAACTCTACTAGAAAGACCTATGATGCTCTCGAATAGAGAGACACCTCACACTACGAGGACTATAATTCATTTTAACACCTATTTTAAAGAACTGTGAATGGCAACGACTTAACTGACTAATACGCATGCGTAAAGAGATGAGACTTCTGTTGAGACGCCTGTCAGAGAGAAGAGTTTGGGAAGCTCCGCCAGCGAGCTGAGGTGTGGAGACTTTGTTCTTCGAGTGATGACGAGTACCATCTTCGTTAACGTCTCTGATCGTGTCACCAGCTCGGATATCTACTAAAGTTTTTTAAATGTATTAATGTTGTATCTGTGATTTGTTGTGTGATTAAAAAGTGATTCATCACCAATACCAGTGTTGATTCCGTTCCCACTGAAGCATCCACGACGTCACAGTGTTTAGTGTTTCTATAGATATGCATCTTGTTAAAAGTCCATTACTGGCTAGTCTTTGATACACTGGCAGTATTTTGAATAAAGCATCTACTTTTAATTAGGTGTTTATCATTGACTGAGATTTAGGTTTCTTATTTTGGGCAATGCTACTTATTAAAAAAAAACATGATGTAACACCTACTGAGCATTTATAATGACTGGGTAAGTCATCTGTGAAAGAACAGTGAACTATGCTTGCATAAATTGCGACCTTCATAGCTTACACGTTTATATCTGACTAATAGCAAAAAGTATTCATCGTGAAAATTAAAATAACGTTTCTCAAATGTTTGTTTACCTTTTTACTGACATGTAAATGTTCTTTCAATGTCATAAAAAAGTAAACAAGCGTATTCAAATGCTTATAACTTCGTTAAAAATAATTTTACACACAAGCGGATTTTTGTAGACAATAGAGTTAAAACCGTAAAATGTTATCATACGAAATTTTTATTTCCCAATCTTTTGTCGGCTTTTGCTAAAACCATCGTGCATTTTTCTGTCCCCTTAATTTCATCTATCCCCTTAACGGATGAAAGAAATTAACAATTTAAGCAATTAACAAGGCATATTTGAATATATTCGATTTTTGACTTATCTCATTCTAAAACACTACCATCTTGTATCATCAAAATTTCAAATCGAATTTCGTAGAATAAAATGAAAAAAGAGTGTCAAATGCCTCCTATTCGTGAAGTGTATAAGCATTTTAGAGTTTGATTCTCTTTAGTAGGATAAACTAGTGCCAAAACTCCTAAAAATCTTGTAGCAAATTATCCCTGAGTTTGAAGAAAGCGACTATACCTTAATAAGGTTAAAAATGAACTTTATTAAATCAGAAACTTAGTAGAAGGACACATTTGGTGCTTGACAAAACTCATCCAGCACTTGTGACGAGCACATTTAGAAATCAATTTAAATTTTAAATAAGCTAGTAGTTAAAAAATACACAATTCAGTTTAATGCAAAGTTGGCTCACAAATCTAACCAGCACAAGTAGCTGAAATGCCACTGAATTAGGGATAGCAGGGGGTATGCAAATTGTGTTGCGCTGCGCATCATTTATGCGCAAGTGAGGGCGATGTGGCAACTGTATGTATAGTGCGTACTGTGGTTTTTCTGAATTATCCTTGTGCTTCTTTCATTTATTTCCAGCACAACTTTTAGAGTCTCTGTAGGGAACGCGCTCTTCACCGGGAGATATATGCAAACGGTATTCCAAAGGGGAAATTGGAACTGTTCTGAATTAGTTGCTGAAATTGCCAGTATGAGTAAACTGCCTGATTTAGACGTCTTCGATCGCGGACAAATCGTAGATACGCGACGCATGGGCCATTGAATTTCCGAAATCGTCAGACAGCTAGGATTTTCAAGGTCGACAGTGTCAAGAGTATACCAAGAATACATGGATGGTGGACAAAAAACAAGAGATCGGGCAAACTGCAAAGGTCAATTATCCTTGACAGTGCGTGATGAGAGACAGCTTAGGCGTATTGTACGAAGTCAGCGAAGCCAAACATTAGCCCAAATTACCAACCAGTTGAATGACGGTACCAGTCGTACAGTCAGTAAACGGACTGTGCAACGCTCACTTCACAGTATGTGTTTCGTCGACATACGAGAGTACTAGGTAGATATCCCTAATTCAGTGGCACTTCAGTGTATTTAAATGTTCGGCAGAAATAACCAAAGATAAGTAATTCAGGCTACCAGAATTGGGAGAAAAGCAACGTGCACGCACACTAGCAGAAACACATTCAATTTTACAATGTAATTAATTTGCGTACCGGTGAGAAATAACTAGTGATGCAAAATAATAATAATTTTACAACAGTGTTATATGCCTCAGCTATAAGAGGGTTGTTTTAAGAACACAAAGAATAAAAAATGGCTTTTTCGCCTTGACATATAAATTTGAGTGAGGAACATTAGCGAATAAGTCATTAGCGAACTCTGAGCGATAAGAAGTTTGTTTCTAATAAAATGTTTATAATCATTTATTATACAATGAACTAAAAAATGCACCAAACCTTATTTTTGATCATCTCTTTATTATTTTCGTCTAACCAATCTTTGGTTTCTAGGATATTTAAAACTTCCCGCTGAATATATTCAGCAATCTTCAGTACCTGAAAAAAAGAAACTACACATAAACATGTTAATTGTATAAAATTTCATGATCTTCTTATCAATATAGTTAAAGCATATTAACCTGTAAAATCACTATAAATATTAAAAACAATGTAACACATTATTTTTCTTTAAAAAATGTACAAAATTTTTATGTACTTTTAATCAGAATTCTTATAGCAAAAATAGTTAAAAAGAGGAAAGTAACAATACTATTTGAAATAATTTAACAGAACTGCAATTTTGCACCTACCTCGATTTTATAAGGGATATTTTTCGCGTAAGGATGTATGCATTGCATAACCAAGAAATTTAAAAAATGAAAGAGGAAAAACGATTAATTCGTTGTACTGAAATCAAGCGTTCTTGTAATGGCTCTGAAAAAATATGAATACTGATAGGAACCTGGATTATTTTATTGAAACAGGTAAGGAAAGACGGGGACACCAGTACTTATTTGACAGTTAGACAGGATGTAGTCCCTTTCTTGTCCTTGCGCTAGAATGCACTTCACACTGTAGTTTGTCAATAAACGCAAAAAAAAGTAATAGTGGAAGTAGTGTAAAAAAAAGAAAATTACCTATGACGGATATGCTGGCGACTGCGCATCTTGAGACTAGCATTTCTATCCAGATACCAGTGCCTATAGGTATATGGCTGACGTCAATATAGGGAAGCTAAATTAAAGCAGCTGCATATCTCTGAAAATTTTTAAGGTATCTTCAAAATTTTCTAATTAGGTTGTAAAGTCTCACTTGTTTTGGTAACATATACTGGGTTAAGGTTCTATATAAAACTAAGCGACTTATCATTATGTCTAGGTAAGCAAATTGTAACGTACAAACGGTGTTGTTATTGTTGTCTTGTCCATATTATATGAAACAATGGTAGCCAGAGCCCAGTCGAAAGAGAGGTTGGACTTCTATTTTCCACCCCGGGTGGGGATTAGCGAGTCTCCCACTCCTCTTCCCTTTCGCCAATCCACAACAAAAGACTTTTTGCTCATCGCATATTTAGAGTGCCGCCATGCCGCACCGATATTATACATTTAAAACATCTATGTCTTCTCCGGGATTCGAACCCAGTCCGTTCAGTACCGTAGTACACTCCCCTAACCACTATACCGTCTGGACGACAAAGGGTGCAAAAGATACTTTTATTAAGAACTCAAATAAGTTGAGCAGAAGGCACTCCTGGTGCCTACAAAACAGCCAGCATTTGTAGGTACAAATAATGAAATCTGATGTGTGCACCAAATGACTTCCTTGTACGGAATATTAAATTATACTCATTTTTCATGCATTTCATTTAAACTTATTGCATTGAATCAAATTTACTTCGTCGATAGCGCATAAACCACAATAGAATAAATGCACTCTTTAAAATTCACTATAGTTGTTTACCATAGCGACACTCTGGCCCTAGGTTCACTTAAGAACATTACATTTCTTTCATTTTTTTAACTCAAAACGCACAAAATTTATATCATCTTAAGAATTATCTAATTATTGCCACATGTTCTATCCAAATACTATAATAACTCTAAAACGATGTATAAAAGAAATTAAGCAAAGAACAACAAAAACAACAAAAAAGAAATAGATTTTCACAGACGATTCAGTACTTATCATTCAATTAATTCAGTTCTCACTTCGAGACGAAGTAAAAATACATTAAAACACAAGATGTCTGTATTGAAAATTGTGAAGTAAATCATAAACACTTATTTCCTCGAATAAATTCCAGAATGCATTAAGCATGATTTAATTCGCAATAATAAAAAGGCATTATCTTTGTTATTGCGAAGCTTACTTTCTCTAGATTGGCAACAAATCTATTATTCTGCTGTTTCAAATGTAACCAAGCAATGGTCACCATGGAAAAAATTATTAGGCTTAGCTGCACTTAAGCAACTCTTAAATTGTTGATAATTCTAAAAATATCGTATACAGATTTACCAAAGGCTCAAAAACCTTAACCGGAAGATGAGAACAACATAATTCAATCATTTTTAAAGCAAAAACGCACAATTTACAAACATATAAGAATAAAGAAACTGAGATCACTGAGCCGAGTAATAGAGTGGATATATATATATATACATATATTTATATACTTTTGGTGCTGCCGATTGCAACTAAAATACGAGGTGTACATCTGCATGTTATAGCAGTCGTTGGATTCCAACGTTCTGAAGCTACTCGTTTTTCAGTTATGCGAGATACACAGGTACGCACAGACACCACGAAAAATTCTCTTCAGAATTCATTTGAAATTAGTTTTACAATTTTTTTGGGGAAAAATGTCCTTTATCCTGTCCTTACATATAGATGTCACGGAAAAACATCGTTAAATTGAATTCGAAAGCAGTGATAATGGAAATTTGGGTTCAAATATGATGCCTGAAACATTTCGCGATTACAATACTTCCTTTTTACTTCGTACAAGGAAGTAAAAAGTAAAGAATTTGAAAATGAAGTCAAATGTAAATAGAAATTAGTCAAAGGCTATGCAGAGACATTTAACGCGTAAGTTGTCTCTAACCTACACCACCGTAACAGCACAATCCCCAATAATAAAGCAAAGCCGTAGACAGGAATGCTATCCTTGAATATTAACTAGTAATGTGGACTACAGCAGGCGGAACACTCTCTGACTAAAATACTCTCAAAACCTCGCTTAAATACGCGCGATCTAAAATTTGCATTCTGGGCAGGGAAACGGAAAGGGAGAACTGAGAGTAAAGTTTCGTAAACATAAATATCTTACAGGATTTTATAGTAGCGGTTTTGTTTTGTTTTTAGTCAACTGGGACGTTAGACCAGAAGGAATGTTAGTCTCGAAATAGCTTTTCGCGTCGGTTCACTATAAATGTGCTATTCACTTTCCAAATTGTTGCCACCAAATACATGATTTATATTTCAAGAAAATAAATAATGAAGAATGTGCATGAATGTATACGTGTTTCTAGCACTGTGAAAAAACTAGAGCCCTCAAATTTTAGATATCTTAGTTCTGGAAGCGAATATAAAAAAACTGGAACCCGAATTTCGAATATCTTTCATTATCTACTTCATATTTTGTGAAACGTTAACGAATTTTTGATTAACAGACTGAACGATTTCAAAGCGAGTAACGACAACACTGTACGGAATAAAAAAAACGTCTAACTCCAGCCGCACGAGATTGCCGTCGGAATTCTGAAGATATGCTGTTGTTAAATATTTTGTGATTTTGCGATTGAATCGAATTTTATATGGTTTAAGCGCCAAGAATGCGGTATTTAATAAATAAAGTAAATGCACAAACATTAATAATAATAAAAAAAGTTTTTTAAAGACATCTTGCAAAGAAAACAGAACATATTAATGTTCTGTTACTGGTGTTAACTATCAAGATAAGCTGGGAAAAATATATATATATATATATATATATATATGCCAATACTTAATACTGCATAAGGAATTCTAAACGTATACCGCTATACTGCTTTTAAAATTTTTGTAATTTTTCTGTTGCATATGGCGTAAATGCGAAAAAAATAACCCCTAGTAATATAGCTAAAAAGACAAAAAAAAAAAAAAAAAAGGGTGTTAGTATTAGTAAGTGTAACAGCAGACTGGTAGACTGGGAAGTCAGCGAGAGAGTAAAAAAGCTTAACAAACATATTTGGGCGACTATTAAAATCTGAAACAGATTTTTTTTTCTTTAATAGTATTTTAATGGGGGAAATCCAGTGATTCTCCGAATAAGCAATGATGATGCAATGTGAAAAACTGGAAAAGAGTATATCCGTTCGAAAATAAACACCGTTCGAGGGCTACAGAATCACATTTGTAACTGCACTCCAGTTCATTTACAGCTGGTCGAGAAAATTAACATTTGTTGCGTGGGCAAAAAACAGATGGATATAGCCGACGAAACAGTAATAGATTCGAGCAATAACGTAATTGTGCTCGTAGCGTTTTAGATACAGTTTCCGAAAAATCGGAGGGACTAATAAAACAGTAGATACCGACGGAACGACATTTTGAAACCGAACTGGGTCGAATACTTGCACAGCAAAGGCTATTTAGTGAATTATGCAGAGATATAAACGAATGCTTTATTATAAGAGTTGTAGATTAGAGAAGCTCAAAATTCCACAGGAACGACTGGCGAAATTTTGGTGGGATCTCAGCCAACGTTCATTGTTTGATGGCAAATATCTTCCACATTCGATGGTATAATACGTAAGCGACAACATCGTTTTTTAAATCAAATATTCTAAAATATTATCTTCGCGGTTTTTTTACATTGCCCTTTTGTACTGAATATAAGTTAAAATAAAATTTGATTGAATTACATTATTTTTATAAGAAATACTAGTAATAATATTTCTTGAATATTTTCATTTATATACGAATTATTTGTCATTTAAAAACTTGATGGAGTATGATTTTAACATGAAACTGATATATCTATAAGTGAAATTTTATAAGCATCGTCAATGATTGTCGTAGACAGAATAATTTATCTTAATCTGTAATAAGTTAACCGCATTTTAATTATATGCATAAATTTACTGACAAGCGTTTCATAATATGCATACATTATTTGATAAATTTTCATTATAAGAAACAAATTCAAACAATTTTGTACTCTAGAGAAAATATAGATACTTTTAGCATTATTCTCACTGTTGGAGAAGAATAATTTCATTTCAGTACATGAAAAATAAACTACAAGTAATAGACAAGAAGATAGCTTAGAGTTAAGCGACTAAATATGAATAAGCTACAAATAATGCTTCTGCATTGGCAGGTAAATACGCTTAACACTCACCGATTCCTTGTTTTCTTCATTAAGGTAATGACGCGCGTAGTAGGAATTAAGGGCCACTTCCAAGGCACTATCGCTTAAAGAAGAAATGCATTGTCTCCAACGTGGTGCTTCTATCTTTTTTAAACTATAACTATCAGCAATAGACCTCCAATACTCTGATAGAAAAGGCAAAGATGCATGAACAACCCTCCACATCATGTAATTGCCTATCGTCCTGAAAATAATTAGGTTGTTAGAGTACTTTTTTTTAATTTGCTTCTTTAGTCACTATCCACGATATGTATAATTGATAAATATGAAGGTTACTTTACAAGCATTTTGAAAAATGGAATTCGCACTTTTTCTCTGCAAATGTCAAAGAAACAAAACATTATAAGCAGCAAAACAAATTAAGTATGACTTTATAAGAAGTGGGAAACAATAGAAACTGGTATTTGCAAAGCTTGAAAGAAAAATTACAGATTGCCAAGTAAATTCCCTGTTCTATCGGATTATGTATTTCAGATAGGTTTAAATTCTGTTGAATCACAACTTATAACTATGTTCGTGCCAGTAAAATAATCACATTTGTGCATACGTATTGATTGATTGACCAGAAACGTAAAGCTCCCTAATGGCAACGCTTACTGTCTTCAATGCATACCAATTGTTCAGAAATCGAGACATTTTCTGATGCACCGGTAGATTTGGCACTGCTTTGTTACACGATAATGATGTTTAAAAAAGCTATATAAAAGGTGTAAGGTTTATGTTAATTAACTCATTATGTTATTATTTTCTATGTACTGCAATGCTAATTTCAATACTCTGTTCTTTGTTTAGCTTTGTGTTTATAAGAACGGAGTTCTAAAAGTTAAGCGCAGAGCTCTATCAGTGACGCTCGTGACAGCGTCTAGATAGCTCTGACAGTGTTATGATAATTTTTGACCCAGCGTTTAGATACAGTAATTTACAATTATTTTACATTGGTGTTAAGCTTTTGTTAGCCGAGTAGGCGCGTGCATTTACAACAACGCTGATAGGACTTGATATTCAAGAAGAAACAGAACTAATGGAGAAATATAGTTATTGTAAAATTCTTTGTTAAACTCATCGTCGTAATGTCGTTGCCATTAGCAGGTTTCAAATTTACCATCGTTTGATCTAATTCTTTTTTCGACAGATAAAAGCAGAGAATTTCCATGCCTTGCCTCTGAGCTGACTTAATATTAAGTAAATGTAAAAGTAAAGTGAAGTGTCCTAAAGAACACAATTTATACATCCTATTATGTGCTATGTGTTAATCGACAGTTGCCCTTACAATGTTGGGAGGAAGAAGAATAAATCATAGATATTTGACAATTTTTCTTAATTAGCTATTGATAACTTCAAGTTCTATCTATATAACTTAATTTGTATTCTTCTTAAGTTCCCTATTTTTAGGTGATGTTTGGCTTAAATTCATAAAAATGAATTTCAAAATAGCTATTAATGTAACGTTAATATATTTATGTAATGAAATTTATCTTACCTTTTATTCGTTTTTTTGATTAAATCTGCGAATGTGAAAAGAAACTTTGGATCTCTGATAAGCAAAGAATCATATTCTGTGACATCCTCATCCAGCAGTACTTTGAAAAATTTAAGCCAGTCAATCTATCAGAAAGAAAAATAAAAGGTTTTCATATCTTTATTTTTAAACCAAAAATTAACTAATTCATGGCGCGTACTTAAATGTCGGCTAGAAAGATGGCTAAAGCCGGAAACAACTTTGGCAGAGATTGCGATAGTACATAACTGCAAGTGAAGCTGCCAGAAGCTCTAAGTCTGAAACATTAAAATCCTTCAAAATGCTCATTGTTTTACTGTTGTAGGTAGAATATACCATTTATGGAACACTGAGAAGATGAGCGGGTTATCAGGTGTACATGACAGTGTGTGATTTTACGTCATCATTAACGCTAGCCACGTGTTTTGTCCGTTTAGAGCATTTATAGTTGTGACCCCTTTCTCATTTGGCAAAGCCCTTACATTTGGATTCATGTTCACTGCTGGAACTTTCTAGGACTTTTTAGCTTACTACCAGTTGCAACTAGAGGGCAGCAGCTTCTTCCACTACGCTTCTTGTGCTCAGCTCTCTACAGGTCCCAAACAAGGCCTATGTAGAGAAAGGCTGAGCAATTTTCTGTCAGTTCTGCCTGTGCTGTTAGTCATACAACTTTTAATGGCATAATACTTTAATGTTTTATTTTATTTTTTTTTATTAAAAGAAACTCAACAAGTTCCCCATGTACCACATAGTATCACATGGGGCTTACAGAAGTAAGTATGAAACACAATACAAAATAAACAAGAGAAAATTGAAATAAAATCAAGGATGATTACAAAGTTTTACAATGAATTGACAAAAAATTTTAAAAGCACTTCTCTCGGAAATAAATTGGTAAAACTCTGGAGGCCAGTTAATATTAAAATTTTTCAGTCCCAGTTTCAAGACTTTGCTTTCGCTCTCATATTTAGGACATAGAAGAAGCACATATTCTACATTCTCCTCGTCGCCGAGGCCACAGTCACAGACGGACTCAGGACTCAACTTAAATTTGTTCAAATAACTTTTAAAATTCCCATGTCCAGTAAGAAACTGGGTTAATTTGTAATTTGTAAAGAAATGATGACATGACAATCTCATTTTAATGTTTTGGCTTCCGTTTTTACTTCCTTGTACGATGTTTTGGCTTCCGTTTTTACTTCCTTGTACGAAGTAAAAAGGAAGTAATGTAATCGCGAAAATTTTCAGGCATCATATTTCAACGAAAATATCCATTTTGACCGCTATCGAATGCAATTTAACGCTGTTTTTGCATTCAGTAGCGTGACATCCGTATGTAAGGACAGAATAAAGACTATTTTCCCCAAAAAAATTATAAAACTGAGTTAAAATGAATTCTGAAGAGAACTTTTCGTGGCGTCTGTACGTACGTATCTCGCATAACTCAAAAACGAGTAGCCTCAGAAAGTTGAAATTTTACACATAGGACTGCTATAGCATGTAGATGTGCACATCGTATTTTGGTTGCAATCAGCCGCACCAAACGTATATAAATATATATATATCCACTCTGTTAATCGCCTCGGTGATCTCAGGGTGTTTTACTCTTATATTTTTGTAAGTTGTGCAATTTTTGGTTTAAAATGATTGAATTATGTTGTTCTTATTTTCCGGTTAAGGATTTTATGCCTTTAGTGTAATATTTGGGCATGAAATATTTGTGGAGTTATGAACAGTTTAAAAGTTGTTTAAGTGCAGCTAAGCCTAATTATGTTTTCGATGGCGGCCATTGCTTGTTTACATTTGAAATAGCAGAATAGTAGATTTGTTGCAAATCTAGAGAATAAGCTTCGCGATAACAAAGATTACGCCTTCTTTTATTATTGCGAATTAAATCATGCTTAATCTATTCTGAAATTTATTCGAGGAAATAAGTGTTTAAAATTTACTTCGTAATTTTCAATATAGATAGTTTGAGTTTTTGCCTTCTCGCGAAGTGAAAACTGAATGAGAAATACTGAATCGTCTGGGTTGAAAAACTGTTTCTTTTTTTTTTTTTTTTTTTTTTTGTTTTTGTTGTTGTTTGCTTAATTTCTTTTTTACATAGTTTTAGATTTATTATAGATTTAAGATTTTTTTTATATACTTGCATTCACATACTTTGATCTTTAAATAATTTAATGATTACAAAATGCTTAACAATTTATCTCTTCTGTTTTGGAATTATTAATTACTTGGTATTTATTCTAATGAAAGCGTCATTATTTATTATTCAGTTCTTTTATATTTATTGTTCTCCTTAAATAGAAATATACTATTTTTTAAATTAAAATAGATTTCTGTCGTTTTTCGTACTACAATTTAGGCAGTGTTTTTAAAAGAGGTTAATGTCTTCGGAGATGAAAACGGAGAGAGGAAAATTCTGAGGCGTACTCTATTGTTTATGAATAGAGGGCTTAAATGATAGAACAAGAGCATTCAAAATATATACATGATACATTGTTGATATAATTTTACATATTTCAAAAGAACTCTTTGTTTTAGTAACATTAATTTTACTTGCACAAAATACTTTCCTATTTGTGTATATATTTTGTATTGTTACCGTAAATCAGAAAGTTACAAGTGGGCAAACTATGCGAGTAAATACAGTATTAAATTTATATTTTTGTGCCATTAATGTTTAATTGAATGAACAAGAGCATCCTTTATTTAATATGTAAATGTTTGTTGTTAACTCACAAGGATTCATCTAAGATTTGAAGTGGTTTGTTAGGATACAAAATTTAGATTAATTTTAAAATTAACATGAAATTTTAGATTTTTTTAATATATTTTAATTTTAATCAAAGTAAATTTGTTAAAGACAATTACCTGTTTAGCTATGTGAAAATAACTTAGTCAGATATTTAATACCTCTTTGCCATAGAGATTGAGAACATTTGTATTCAAATACATACCTTTCAAAAAGATACATCAGGTTCATGTTACCATTAGCTAATAAAAGTAACATCCACAGGAAAATGCTTTATTTGAATTCACATATCCCCTTAAGGATTTGAGCAAAGAATATAAACTTTATCCATCATTTATCTCGATATTACCCCTTATATATTCACTATGATATATTTGTAAAGAAGAGGAAGTTTCTAAAAGTTATTGCTTAAAAGCACATTTGACACTGTAGTTCCAGAGTAAAAAACTATCATATATATGTATATCCTAAATTTCAGTCACTCATTACAGCAAGCAGCGCTTGAGTGCAGAATTATGTTTTTAAAATTCGATTTTCAATAAAATGTATATGTAAATGTAGTACTGTGACTATCTTCCAAGATCGCTGCATCCATAAGGAGAAAAAATTCAAGTCCTAGAATATGTCTTAGTAATATTTTATTGGCATAAAATAAAATTATTTTCCTACTTTTATTGCATCAATTAAAAAAATATGCACAAAAATTTAAAAACTCATACATGACATTATTTCAAGCGCATTCAAATGTTTTAACTACGAATTATAGATTATAAAATGAATTGCAGTTTTTTTAAAAAAGTGTAGAGATCGATACTCTCAGCTCAGAGGATAGGTATTGAACCTGACGATTATTAATATTTTTATGTATGCGTTTAATAAAGCCTTTTATAAAATATCTTTACCTCTCTTTCCAAATTTGAAAGAAATGAAACTGTGAAAATTTGATTGAAGTTGTCAATACTTATTCTTTCTTCGTCTGCTGTAGTGCCCTACCCAGGAAAAGAAACTAAATTAGTATAAAAGTACATACTCCATTTCAAAAGAAAACACAAACACAGCTTGGATAAATAATATGTAGATGAATGTACCAAAAGGGTTTTATGCTTGAATTATTTATAAGTTCTTAATTTTTCTAAGCGGAGCATCAATTCAAAAATGAAAAGCAACGGCAGATATTAGCTGTATCCTTGGTTGAATTATTAGCACAAAGGAGCGTTAGTCCTGACGGGCGTTTAGTCATAAAATGGCAGTTTTCGTCGGTTCGCTAGGAACGGTGTAAATTGTTACCGAGAAATATTATATTTAATGAAGCTAAGTATTCAAGAATCTGCAGGAATGAATCTCTGAAAGTGAAAAAAATGACAGGACCTAGAAACATTAAATTTTGAATAACGTAATCCTTCACCCGAACATGGCCACCTGGAAGCCCGAATTTTGAATTTCGAATTTCTTTTATTATCTGTTTCGTGTTTTGTAAAACTTCAGAGAATTTTTGATTAATAAATTCAATGATTTTTAGGCGACCAGTGGCAATACTGTACGGGGAAAATATTTTTATATCTAGCACGTGAGACTGTCTATCGCAAATTCTAAGGATATGCTGTTTTTAAATATTTTGCGATATTGCTGTTGAATTCGAATTCTATGTGCATTAAGTACGAAGAACATGATATTTAATAAGTAAAGGCAATACAAAAAACGTTAAAAATGTCCCTTTGGGGGTAAAACAAAATCTATAAGACAACGTCAGATAATAAACTGCATCTCTTCTGAATGATTTAAAAAAAATGCTTCCCGCGCTTAACAGTGATGACAACAACTTAACAAATGCTCCCTGCAATTAAAAACGCGACTGTTACAGTTAATAATGTTATAAAATGGTTGTAAAATAATGAAATAAATAAAACCTGTTCTAGGCTAAATATTTATTTATACATACAACTATGTTCAAACTACACCTGGGGAAAACGTTAAAATACATTTTCACTGCAGGACACCACGCAAACTCTTGTTTGCTCTTCTCTTTTTAGTATTTCAATCTCCTCTTATCCCACCTGCGGCCGGTGGAAGGTCCGCTCCTCTCTTCCGGCCTTGGCGAGAAAAGGGTTCTCTGCACACTCTTTGAGGCTGGGTGACCAAGTGTTCTTTTCAGAGGAAGGGAAAGTTACAATATTTATTGCTTTGTAATAAACATCGTTAATTGTAAGAGTCGTCGAAAGAGTTTTTTGCTTCTTTGTTTAAATTCTAAGCGGCATTTAAAATTCCATTCTGGTTAAATATATAGAAAGTAAGAACATATGCATTTTATTCTATCATGTACGGTACGTATTTCCTAATATAGTGTGTGTAATCTAACTTTTGGAATTTGAATGGGCTATAAAAAAGAAAAAAGAAAAAACTAATGGATATTTTTTCAAAATTCTGAGTTTATTAGAAAGATTGGACATTTTCATTTAAAAATAAAACACATCATAATTCAAATGACTGCCACGACTGACTTGACAGTACCCTACCTGATGAACCTAATTTTTCAGTACATTTTCGATTGTTTGGGCCCAATCGCATGAATGACTATTTCGATTTCGTGTTTCAAGGCATCAATCGTCTCTGGGGGGTTATCGTAACATTTATCCTCAAAGATTCTCCCCCCCCAAAAAAAAATCTGACGGGGGTCAAAGTGGTTTTTGGTCCGACCGCATCATTGGGCCATTTTTCTTCGAAAATGAGCAAGGAGCCGCGATTAACGTCAATCGTGAACCTTACCGTGTCATGCTAAACGAATTTTTGTTTCCCAAAACTGAAGGGACATTTAACATTTAGTTTAGTTTAGTGACATTTAACGTGACATTTAGTTTTCAACAGGATGAGGCCACTTTCCTCACAGCTAATGTAATAATCGATCTTTTGCGCACTGATTTTAGAAATCGAATAATCAGCCGAAATGCTGATGTCAATTGGCCGCCTGGGAGCTGTGATGTGACCCAGGTGGGCTTTTTTTTGTGAGGAACTCTTAAGGATAAGTATTATGCTAACCATCCAAAGCCAATTGATGCATTGAAACACGAAATCGAAGTTGCCATTCCTACGATTGGAGCCCAAAATTCGAAAATGTACTGAAAAGTTTTGTTGATCGGATGGGGTACTGTCAAGCTACCCATGGCAGTAATTTGAATGACGTTGTGTTTCATTCTTAAATGTAAATGGTCAATCTTTCTAATGAACACATAAGTTTGGAAAAAAAAAATTTTCATTGGCCTTTTGTAGCCGATTCAAATTCCAGAAGGTTAGATGACCCACCCTTTATAATTTTTATTTTATTAAGATCATCATTTAAATACAATTTAATGAGTAATGGGAATTTATTAATTTAACTATTTCAATAATTTTTACTTATAATAACATTATACTTTTGCGGACGTTTTAGTTGCTTTTAAGAATTTTTACGTTTGTGAAAACATATCATTAAAACGTTACACTCACCAGGAAGCATAAATTATAATTTTTATTTTCTAAAACACATAATCTTGATTTGTTAGAAGCGCATGCAAAATTACAAACAAGTATTCACACAATGGGAAAATGTAATAAGTAATGCGAAAATAACGTCTCTGAAGCAAATTAAAAAAGAAATGAACACTAAATGTATGTCCCCGCGTACTTATTGCTATGAGTAAATATTCTATTTTTGCTTATTTGGTAAAATAAATAAGTATATGAATAAACAAAGCAAGAAAGACAAAAAAAAAAAAAAACCTAAAGCATTTAGATTTTAACATCGGTGCTCTCACTGAGCATCGCAGATTACCATCAAGTTCTTGAACTCACTTCTACGAACATAATGTTTCCATCTTTCTATTTTTATTATTGAGCACTACTATCTTCACATTTAACACAACATAAAATTCAAGAGTAAAATCACAATGCATTTGAAAACCGTATATCTTTAGAATTTCTGATGGTGTTAGGGTTTGCCATACATTGTTTGTTTTTTATTATTCGCTATATTATTCATTTGAAAACAGACGCTCGAGTGGTTGGCAGCTTAAAAGAGTTATCATAGAAAGAGAAAAATAGTGATTTTTTCCAGCTACTGTCATTTCATAGAAATGTTTAATATATCTAATTAGATAGTTCATGATTTGAATGTAATTTTATTTAAATAAATGATCAGAAAGGAGGGAAAATATTTTTAAGAACTACTTTTATTGCTTTTCAGTCACTTAAATTGTTGCCTAGCAATAGAAAAATTAAATATGAAAGTTAACTATCTTACTCTTTACTGTATGGCAGCACGCTGGTGCTTAGAGATAATTATGATTATGAAATTTTTAAGATTCTATATGAGGCAGTGACAACACGTTGTTTTCAAGTAGTAACACTTGTATATAAATGAAAGACCTACATTTTGCTCAGTCAGTGAAACAGTCATTTTACTATGAAGCAAGTGTTCTGTGATTATTTAAACTTATTGAATTAATAGAACAAATTTCAATTGTGGAACTCAATTGAACAGTTGGTTTGAGTAGTTTACGAGCTGTCATATATTTGCTTGTACCTTTACTTTCTGCTTTTCGAAATGAATTTTCAATGCTAATTGACTTTTGGTGAGTATATTGTATGTTATGCCATTTAATCGCTTGCTTGGTGTTACGACAACTCTTCATCATGGAATTCAAGAACTTAGAAACCCTTAAAGTGAAATATGCAAACTCATTCCCGCACCTGGAGCAATCCAGTATAGGATTATTTTCTCTTAAAGATGAGATTCAACTCAATTTAGCGTCTGCTGCCGCATATGATCCGGACCTCCAAAAGCACCGCGCAATTACCGTTGAAAAAGATATAGAGCTTAATAATGAAATCAAAGCCTTAAATGTATTATTGCACGAACTGCAAAAACCTATTCTTATCTCAAATGAAAGCATACATGCTACCACCAACGAAGATAATGTTTCGTCTAATTCTAATAAAACACGTAAAAACGTACCATTACGGATAGTTTTAAACTAAATTCCGGTAAGGTTTTCATTAAAAAAACTGCCAAACAACACATACCCTAAATTAATCTAGCAAGAATTCATAAATAAAGAAATTCCCGTACTTAAAGTTAGGCAACTCACCACAATAAGAGATGAAAACATTGTTAATGTTCCAGTTTTCAAGTTAATCTAAAACGCTGTGTTGAAGGCAAAAGAATATACAAAGTTAAAACCATCAGATGTTTAGATGTATTTATTTAAACTTACAAGTCAAAGCCAGATCCGTGCAATGCCATAAGTACCAAAAATATGGGCACTCATGGGAACTTTGCCACTACAATCCCTAAATGTCTTAAGTGCGCAAAACATCATGAAACTTAAAAATCGTAAAAGCAACCTTGTATTTAGCTTAGGTATAATGAAACACTCAATCGATTTCGAATGCAGCTAAAGGTCGCTCCTCATCAGGAGAAAGAAATACCTAGAAAGAAGAAAATAAAGGAGAAGGAGTCTCAGAAACACGTGGTCCTTATCAGCACTTCACGTGGTTATAACTGGATTTTTAACCAGAGTTTGCACTGGCCGCCTACTTTTACTGAGCCAGGCTATCTGATCAAGCATAAAGGACAAGAAAAATCAGCGAAGTTAAAATAGGGAGCGAGGGGCAAATGCACCTTCACGCTCAAAATTTTGAACTTCAAATAATGGAAAGCAGTTCAGTTCAGTTATCTGATTTAGACAACATTTAGTAGCCCACTGCTTTAACTGCCTGTCATGGTATTGCCCTAAGGCTTGGAAAAATGAGAATAAGGCGGTAACCGCCGCGCCTTTATAGGCGGAGCTAGAATAGTACATGAGTACACAATGAAATTTTAGAATTTAGAAGTGCATCTGGGAAACTGTTAGAGCTGGCAACAAAATACGAAAATATATTAAGTTATGTAGTAAACTAGTGATTAACAATCATAATTAAATCACTAATACTTTGAATTTCATAATTTAAATCAAAT